CTCGGCACCGAAAATTTCCGTGGGATTTTTTAGAGGTGAATCCAAGTCTCAGCCAGAACAGGATTATCCATCAAAACTCAGCGTGGTGCATGATTCCTCATCACAGACCGTGGATTCAGCCCCGGGATCTGAGGCCAAGGGGGGGTTTTTTTTTTTCCCTCCTCACCTCTTTGTCAAAGTTTGCTTTGGTGAATTCCAAAGAGTTCAGGAGTGCGTTTGTGGCCGCGAGCTTGACGTTGTTGCTGGGCTCTTCCTTCCTCATTCCCTGGATGATGGCTGTCAGGATCTCGTTGGATTTGTCCTGGAGCTGCTCTGGATCCTGGGAAGAAGTTTCCATGCAGTTATTTGCCACCTGAACAGCTTTTTTTTCAATACATTGAGTCCTCCCCCCGAGCTCAATCCTGACGTCTACAAGTTTTAGGACGTTTTGCTCCGAGCTCAATCCTGATTCCTACAATTTTTAGGATGTTTTGCTCCCTGGGAAATCCAAGGAATTCCTACACCAGAACACCTTTGCTGCTTTTGGGATGAGGAGGAGACTGAACTGAGCACAAAAGCTCTGGAAATTCAATGCCAAACAAATCCCACCGTATCAAACATAAGCCAACAAGCTCCAGGACTTGATTTTGCTCACCCAGAGTGTTAAAAAAACACTGATTTCCAACTAATTTATGGCCTGGGCAGAGCTCTACTTTTACTGGTAAATTTGCCAGTATCTTTTAGGCATAACAGCAAAAAAATGCACTGCCTGGAGCAGCAGCAAGGGCAGGAAACTGTTAAATCCCTGTTAAACACTCAAGGCTTAGGGAATAAAGCTGGGAATACACACTAAAGATTCATTTTCCTTCGTGGCAAAATCAAGTCTGCAGGACCCACAAGTAACTGGGTGAATTGTTACATCAGGATTTACCCAGCAGAAAAATTTAAGATTCCCAAACTACTGCCACAAAACTATAAAAACTCTAAAGGGGGGATCTTATAAAATAAACATAAGATGGGATGTACCCAACCAGCAAGGCAGGGCACCCGAAAATCCAGAGGTTAGTGATCCATTCCACCCCAAAAAACCCAAGGAACAGCCCCTCCAGAGTTGCAGGGACTCGTCACAAACAGATTTCCTCTTTTATTTCACTTTTCTCCCCAGTGAAACCAACCCCTTGAAGCCAAATAAAAGCCCCAGACAAAAGATTTCCCCTCCTGCCTCACTCCAGAGAGATTCCAGCAGGGACACACCTTCTCCAGGACATTCAGTGGCACCAAAAGAGCAGCTGCTAATTCCAGTTTTTAGCAGCAGGACACAGTTTTCCAATCAATTCCCTCCAGGTGCTGCAATCCTGGGATAAACCCACCGGAGGTGCCTCCAAGAGCTCAACATTCCTGCCTTAAAAATTCCCGAATTAACAACACAGGGGCTTCCCTACCAATATGAAGGTCAGGTTTTCCCAAACCAGGAAGGCATCAAACACTGATCCCTGTTTCATCCCTGGGTTTAGCCAACGTTTGGATGCTGAGCTGGAGTTTTCCCCCGGCCTCGTGTGACCGCAGGGACGCGGAAACTTAAACCTTCCCTTTAGGAAACGTGACCTGGATTCGGGCTGGGAAAGCAGGTCAGTCCTTCCAGGCACCATCCCTGGGTTTGCTCCCCCAGTTCTGCCAGCAGGATTAGGAACAGACAGTACAGGGAGGCACCAGCAGCCTCCTGGATATGGAATCATGGAATGCTTAAGGCTGGAAAAGCCCTCCAAGACTGTCAAGTCAGAGAATCATGGAACACCCCGAGCTGGGAGGGATCCATGAGGATCATCCAATCCAACTCCTGCCCTTGCACAGGACATCCCAAAATCCCACCCTGTCCCTGAGAGTGTTGTCCAAACATTCCCTGAGCTCCAGCAGCCCCGGGGCCGTGACCAGACCCTGGGGAGTTCCAGTGTCCAACCATCCCCTGGAGGAAGAGGCTTTCCCAAAAATCCAGCCCCAATCCCTCCTGACACAGCTTCAATCCCAACCACAGGAGGGAGAAAGGAAGATGAGAGGTTCTGGGAAGACCTTGGGAGCAAAATCCTCATGGAAATTCAACCAGCACCTCCTGGAGCTCTGGCTGTGACCAAACCCTGGGGAGTTCCTGTGTCCAACCAACTTCTAGGGAAAAAACCTTTCCCAAAATTCCGCCGACACAGCTTCAATCCCAACCACAGGAGGGAGAAAGGAGGAGAAGAGGTGCTGGGAAGACCCTGGGAGCAAAATCCTCATGGAAATCCTGCAACCAGAACCTCCTGGAGCTCTGGCAGGGCTGGGGAGTTCCTGTGTCCAACCACCTTCTAGGGGAAGAACCTTTCCCAAAATCCAGCCCCAATCCCCTGACACAGCTGCAATCCCAACCACAGGAGGGAGAAAGGAGGAGAAGAGGTGCTGGGAAGACCTTGGGAGCAAAATCCTCATGGAAATGCTGCAACCAGCAACTCCTGGAACTCTGACAGGATTGGGGCTGGTGGAGTTCTGGTGTCCTTCATCCTCTGGGGGAAGAAGGTTGTCCTAAAATCCAACCTAAACATCTCTGACACAGCTTCAAGCCCAACCACAAGGAGGGACAAAGGAGGAGAAGAGGTGCTGGGAAGACCCTGGGAGCAAAATCCTCATGGAAATCCTGCAACCAGCAACTCCTGAAGCTCTGGCTGTGACCAAACCCTGGGGAGTTCCAGTGTCCAACCACCCTCTGGGGGAAGAAGTTTGTCCTAAAATCCAACCTAAGCATCTCTGACACAGCTTCAAGCCCAACCACAGGAGGGAGGAAGGAGGAGGAGAGGTGCTGGGAAGACCCTGGGAGCAGAATCCTGCCGGGAAGGCCCCGGAGCAGCCCCGGGGGTGCACTCACGATGTCCTGGCAGATGTAGCCGATGGCCTCCAGCGTGGACTCTTTCATGTGCTCGGTGCTGTGCTGGTTGGTGACGTTGGCCACCAGCTGGGGGATGAGCTCTGGCCACTGGTTCATGGGGATTTCGGCGCAGGCGATCCCGGCCACGCACTGGGAGGCGGAGCTGGGCCGGTAGGTCTCCGTCCCCAGGGTCTGGAGCACCTGGAACGGGGCAGGGAAGGGGTCAGGGCAGGGCCAGGCAATCCCTGCTCATCCCAAATCCTCCCCAGCAGAGCAGTCGGCTTGGTCTGCTTCCTGCCAGGGAAACGAGGCTGGAGAGGGACATTCCCAGTGGGAAGCGGGATCCAGCTGTGATCCCAACACATCCTTAAACTCTGGGAAGAGTCCGTGTGTCACAGCACGGCAAGGGCTCAAACAATCCATCCCCAGCCAGAAAGAGAAATTATCCTAAAGCAAAAATTATTCACATCGCTATCAAATTGTCATTTAAAAATCGCTACAAAGCAAAATTATTGTTATCAGTTAAAATTGTAAACACAAAGCAAAATTATTATTATTTAAAATTATAAAGACAAAGCAAAATTATTATTAT